TTAGCAAATAATAGGTTCCAGGCACATAGTAGGCACTCAGTAAAGTTTGAATCAGTGAATCTAATTCATTCCACATGCACTCACTGAAATTTGACTACTAAATGCCAGGCCTCAGTGCTAAGGATCAAAAGTGATAAAAATCTTTGCCTTCATGTCTTCAAATTTTATAACGCTAATCACATTAATTTTATGTTGCCGCTAAAACAAAACACTACAAAAATGTAGTGGCTTAAAACGACTCACTCATTATCATCACAGTTGTGCTGCTCCCTCTGCTGCTGGCCTCAAGGATGGAAACAAGGTTTCAGCTGGCCGGGGCTTTTACGTGGTGGCTCTAGGAAAGAATGTGCTTTTGAGCTGCTTAGGTTGTTGACAGAACAGAGTTCCCTGCAGCTGTAGAGCTGACCCGTCTCCACTTTCTTGCTGCCTGTTAGTCAGGAGCCTCTCTTGCTTACGGGCAATGCATCTTTCCTCAACATTTTGCTCCTGAACTTTCCCCACACCTCTCATCTTGAATCTCTCTGATTTCTCTTCTGCCACATCTTTACTGCTTTCAAAGGCTTGTGTGATTAGACTGAGCCCACACAGATAATTCAGGATAAGTCTTTTTGTTAAAATTTACAACCCTAGGGGGGTGGGGGACGGATAAAAGTTTTATTTTAAAAATAATAATAATAAAATAAAGTAGCAAAAAAATTATAACCTTAATTACATCTGCCACAGTTCCATTTGTCTTGTAACAACATATTCACAGTTTCCAAGGATTGGTCATGGACATTTTTAGGCCATTAGCCTACTGCAGTAACTATTCTGGAATTATTTCCCAGCATGTCCCTCACTTAGATAATTTGGAGAATATTTTACAACAACATGGTTAAATTCATTTTGGCTAAAATATGTTTTGTTTAAAATATGTTTATATTTTGTTTAACAATAAAGAATTGTAAGTTATTTGGAAGTATTATCATGAGCCAAAGCTTCGTAGGAAGGACCAAGTACAGAAAGAGAGGGAAAGATATAAAATACATAAATAAGTAAGCTTTATAAATAGAATGAGCACCATAAATAAATAAGTGATACAGCAGCAATGTGGATGACTATTTTACCTAGCCTCAGAAGAATTTGGGTTAGACAGTCACTACATCTATCATTATTCCAAGTAAGGCCGATTTCTTAAAGGCATTAATCAACTATTAATACACAAGATAGTCTGTTCTAGTTGAAATTAAATGAAATTCTCTTTTCCTCTCAGAACTTTACCCAAAAGTAAAGAACCATAGATTTCATTTTCTATTTTTAGCTTACCAAGCTAATCGTCTGAATAAAATTAAAAATCAATGCAATAATAATGAATTTTGATAAGTCCAGTATTTGGGGGCACATGATGCCAGATTCAGAAGACACAAACATGATTATACTCCCTGCCTGTAGGAAATACGCTGGTAGGTAAATTAATAAATTGCAATACTGTATAGCAAGGACAATAGGAGAAGCTATCACAAGTAGAAGAGATGATCTAAAGAGTAGTAAGGTAAGATATTCCTGACAAATAAATCTTTAGCAAGAGGGATGGAAGGGAACCTGAGCCAACAGCATGAGCAGAGGCAATAAATATGCAAAGGCTCAGGGTATTCGGGGGAAGTACAGGCTTGACTGGAGGGTAAAGAGTAAAAGTCAAGGAGTGGGAAGTAAATGCTGGGAGGCAGAGGGCCAGGGCTCCCATCTCCACTTTATTCCATGGAGATGAAGGCCTGGCAAAGTCCTTTTAATCAGGAAAAATACATGATTGGAATTGCAGAGTTTTTTGTTTTTGTTGATTTTTATTTATTGCAGTCCTGCGGATTGAACTCGGGGCATTCACACTGAGCTATATTCCCAGCCCTTTTGGAGACAGGGTCTTGCTAAGTTACCCAGGCTGGGGTTGAACTTTCCATCCTTCTGCCTCATCCTCCCAGGGTGCTGGGATACAAGTAGGCACCATCAAACCTGGCTAGGATTTGGAGTTTTGAAAGCTTGCTTTGGCTGCACAAGAGACTTGACTGGGTTAGAGGTTAGTTATAAGCTGTAAAGCCAGCTTAGGTAGGATGAAATCCTAAACTAAGGCAGTGGAGTGAGAATATAGAGTGGAGGAAAAAATACAAAAGATGGTGCCATGAGATTCATCCGGCTTCATGACTGACTAAAGGTATGGTGGTAGGAAAGTATCAACAGCTAGCATGGGTCCTTGCTTTAGTAGAAATGGAAATTAAAACTAATGGGTGATTTTGCAGGAAAAAAAGCTTTAATTGAAAGGTAAGAGAAGGCAAAGAAGGGACTCCAGCTTGGGTAGTAGCTGGGGAGAGGGCACATTCTGATAGAGAGGATCAGATACCCTTTTTCCCCAAGTGGGAGGCCAGGTTTTAAGGATTAGCTCCAGTGGGCCAGGTCCCATTATCATTATCTCAGTCCTTTTACAGTGCTGGAATCCTCATGGTTTGAGGGTGGTTCTGTTCCCATGAAATGATTCTCTCTGTTTGTGGTGGTTTCAGTCAGGTGAGGCTCTGCTTTTCCCGGAATCCAGGTGCTCACAGGTTTGGGATAATAGCTGGAGACCTCTGGTATAGCTGCCGTAAACCTCTTGGTATCCTCAGGCTCCAAGGGCAATGAGACAGGCTAGCTAGATCTAAGGCTAATAGGCACTCTCTAAATGACTAGCATGACTATATGCAGAGCTGAAAAGGCTCTGATCCAGAGTTTCACAAAATGAAGCTCAACATTTGTTCCACTTTTAGTTATCTATTGAGCTTTTGTAGACCTAAATGAAGAGTCTCAATTTTAGTAAAAATCCCTTTTAAGCCCCTGACTGCCTTAGGGGAAAACACAAATCAAGTTTGTTTGTTTGTTTGTTTTTTTACAAATCAAGTTTTTGATAAGTAACAGGTGGAAGGCCCAGGATTCTGCCCATGCTCCATCCCTATAGTGGTCTCTGACTATACCATGACTATGCCAAAAGGAGGGAAAAGGAGGGCAAAGAAACAGTAGTGACACAGTCAAGGCAGTGATATGGCGACCACCAGAGGGAGGGGGAACAGGCAGAACCCTGGACCCTTCACTGCTACTCATTAAAAGTATGATTTGTGGTTTCTTCTTGGATAGTCAGGGACTTAAAGCCATTTTTTTCTAAGAGCCATGACTTCACTAGGGCCCAAGACACCCAATAAGTAACTAAAAGCAGAACAAACCTGGACCTTTATTTCATAATGGCTATTGTAAACCTTGGGCCAAATCTCAACTCTCCATAGGGTGTGCTGATCATTTGGGGAGTGCCTATCTAGGAACTAGCTGGACCAGGCTGATTAGCCCTGAATTTACATGATCTAATCCCCTCTTTAAAACCAAGGACAAGATATGAGATTTATGGAGACATTCAGCTACACCATTGTCCTAAACCTGTGATCACCTGAACTCCAAAAAAGGCAGAGCCTCACACGACTGAGATGACTATAGGCAGAGACCATCCTTTCCTGGAAAGGAAACTATCCCTCAGCCATAAAGATATGGGGCCCCAGCCCACTAGTTAATCCTTAAAAGTTGGTCTCCTGCCTTTGCAGATGGGCCAGTCTGAACCCCTGTATCAGTGTGCCTCCTCTAGCTGTCCAAGCTGGAGTTCTTTCCTATCTTCCGTCTAACTTTCCAATTAAAGGCTTTTTCCTTGTAAATTTGCACTTCAGTTTTAATTTCCATTTCTATTAAAGCAAGGACCCACACTAGCCACTGACAGGAAGAACTGAGAGTTACTTAGAAATTTCTGACATGGGAGGAAAATCTCAAAATTTGATATTCTCTGACTAAATGAAGGAATGAAAGAAAACAAGCAATAGTGACAGATTCTCTTGACCAAATTTTATTTAGCCTTCTCTGAGCCCTTATCTCAATTAGGCTATATCCTTGGGTCTTGCCTTAGGCCACCCAAGCCCAGATGTAGCAGAAATCCTCTAAGTCAGTTTAGACAGAATCCCGTCTGGTCACCTTCATTTTCTACCCACTGACCAGACTTGAGTTCAGTCTCTCCCTTACTCAACACCTACTTGCAGTAGTCCTGTATAATCTTTCTTGACATCTTAGTAAGTGTCCGAATAATATTTTCTTCTACAGTGGAAGAAATATCTCCCGGGAACTAAAGTACTGCCACATTCCCAAGTTTTCATTTGTGGCATATGTCTTTTAACTATGGTGTAGCTAGGTAACATGTCTAGCTATGGTGTAGCTAAATAACCTGCTAAGGTTTACCTAGCATTAGATACCTGGCATAAGATAGACACATTCCAGCCACCTGTGCCCCCAAAGCCTAGTAAGCTGGCTTCCTCACTTTAAATTTTTTTTAAATTCTATTATTCTAACACCTGCTAAGTTTGGCCCCCATACAGTTCCCTTCCTAGGGGGGTTTACAATAATCTTACAGGGAGCTTCAGCATAGACATCCACGAGGACGAGGCTTGAGTACACAGTTAACACTAGACCTGCAAAGGCCTGTAGTTTATCTGGTGTTCACCAAATGCCAGAATTCAAGAATAAGTGTTAAGGGTGGGGCCACTGGTGTGACAGTTATGCTAACTCCAATCGAATATGTGGACGCGCTTTTGAGTGACATTAGTCCGGGTGTCACCACAAAGGGTGACAGCGGCAGGGGTCGGCTCACACCGCTCAGGACGCTGGTTAACCTCGGAGCGGGGAACAGAGCATGCACTGGGCCTTCAGGGGCGAGATACTGAACCTTAGCTCTGCTCAAGGAGGGTGAAGACCCACAACAAGCAGGCAGACTCTGCCCCGAGTTCCACCGCACCGAGCAAGGAGAACCACCACCCAGTCCGGCGAGCTGACAGGTCCCCAATAACGGAAGCCGCCCTCCGCCAAGTCACGCCTCCCCGGCGCACGCAGGCGCGTGCACGCACGCACGCACGCCGGCCTCGCGCCGTCAGGCTCTATTGCGCATGCCCGCGGTTGCAGCCCGAAAGGCAGAGGCCCCAGGGGCCGCTCCCAGGCCGGCGAGTAGACCCGAAAGGCCACGTCACTTCCGGTGGGGCGGGGCGCAGCTGAAGGGGTGGTGCTCCGGCTGCTGAGCGTCTGTTTGTGTTGTGAGCGCAGCTGATGCTGGCTGGCCGGTGTGGCCGTCATTGACCTGGCCAGGCGATTCGACTCTGCCCCCGACGTGATTGCGGCCTGCATCCCAGTGAGTGGCCGGGGCAGAACGAGAGGCGAGCTGACCCTGCGGGCGGACGGGCCATTGTCAGGCCTCCGGGTCTGCCCGTGTCTCCTGTGGGCGCTTCCAGGGTCGCAGCCTAGGGGAGCCGCGAGGCGGCCGGGGCGGGCGGCCTGCGCGGCGCCCTCCGCCCGCAGCGCCCGCGACCCCCACCCCGCTCCCGGAGCAGCTCCGCGGAGTGTCTCCCCTGGGTGCGGTGCTCTCCAGCATCTACTTACCAGGGACTCTAGTGGTTTCGGTTTTCCACTCTTCTCGTCTGTCTATGCATTTTGTGCTTCCTTTGCTTGTTATTTTTATTTGTCAGCATTTTATTTTTCTTCCCACCCACATTTGATTCCCTCCCGGACTGCTGTTGCTCAAGGCGATTCCGGTGATTGTGCGTTTTAAAAGCTGGTAAAGCTGTGTGAATCATTGTGTTGCAGTGCAGGAAGCCTGTCTCCATCCCTGTGTCATTTCTGTGACGACGCTGGGAGGACCCGGTTTCTATGCCTACTGCAATAACTAAAGAAAAGTGGCGATTCTCCAAGGAAAAACTTAGAAGAGATGTGACATCATATAGTAATTTAAAAAAAGAATACCATGTTTATTTCCAGGAGCAGTTGTATTCTAGATCTGTACTCCTATTTATGGAGATTGCAGAGAGGACAAAAATAGGTTGTAGGATATCAAGAAAATGCCAGTAAGACAGATGTTAAGAATTTTTTTAAAAAAAGACCATTAAAATCTGAGGATTTTAAAATGCATTAAACTGAATTGGGAGCTTATGCTTTGTATGAGGCATTTGTATCAAGCTCATTATAGCCATTTTGTTAAATTGCTTATCCAAAATTGTATTTTCAGTATTAGGGCATGTTACTTCATCCTTTTAATCATACCTTTTCTTATTGGTCTTTCCCTAATATATATACAGACTCTAAATTAAAATCTCATAAGCAGTGATCTTTTCATGAGTGATATCGGATGAAAGATCAGTTTCACAATTTATATATTCATTGTTTCACGAACAAAGTTGGTACGAGAACACCTTGTACTTTGAGTTGTTTACTTCCAGCAGTTAAGACAGCAGAAAGGGTGTGATTTGCTTCGCTAGTGAAATCTCTGTACATTTATAAAAAGCTCAGTAAGAACTCATAGCCCTAGACACCTTCCTGTCCGGTCCTTTCTCTGTTCTAATCTTTCTCTACCACCGCATATATTTTATTCTGTTCATTATCCATTACTTTTTAAAACTTGCTCCTGAGTTTTGGACATACCTTTTTCCCCTGTTCTTTTTTGCTTCCTTGAAAGGCTTTTCTTCCTTTTCCTAACTCTGGATGGCACTAAAGACTCGGTTCTCTCTCAACCAACATTTTAACATTTTGAAATCCAAGGAATACTATAATAGGTCCATGAATATTCAGAAATGTCACAGAAAACTAGTGTGTACTTGCAAGTAAGCATTTTTCAAAAAAGAGCTCTTTTCATGTTCTAGGATCCTCAGATACAGTTATTATTATTATTATTATTACTATTATTATTTTAAGTTGTCCTTGGTACATCTGACCATTTCTAATGATTTCAGCTGTCCCTGTGTTAATTCCACACATAAATCCACAGTCTAGATGCAGTCTTAATTTGAATGCCTCACCATTACTTCACTCTGTAAATCCAAAAGAAAGTTTATTTTCCCTGGTTAAATTGGCTCTTTCTCTGTTTCCTCATATTCACAAATGGATTCTTCTTTTGTCTCAGATTTAAAACTTTAAAACTTCTTCTCCTTGTCCCATTGTTGATTGTCACCAAGTCCTGTGTTTCATTGTTGTTTTATTTCCGTCTCCCTACTTCCACCTGTGGTTCACAGTAGCCCTCTTCTCTATCCTAGTACTGTTACTTAATTCAGACATTTTATTATCTTTTTGGCTTTATTATTGCAATAAGTAAGTGATGTTTGTAAATCATTCTTTCCATCCACATTTGGGCCTCCACCCAGAAATTTCCTTAATTCTTCTGGTTAAAACTCCATTCCTTTTCCCAGAGGTTGGTCAACACCTGCCTTCCACTTACCCCTCCATTGTTTTACCCTATTGCTATTCTTCCCTTCTCTTTTCTCAGTTGATCAAGCCTTTCTCATTTTACATTCTCCCTATTTTTGCACTCTTAGCCTTTGTTATGACTGAATTTACCTTCAGAACACTTTGCATTTACGAGTGTCGTCATTTGGTAACAAAAAAAATGAACTTGTTAATTGTTAATGATTGCTATTTTTGTAAGTTTTGCTTGACCATTGGTTTTGAAAGGAGTATATTAAAATCTTTCAATTTGATCATAAAATTATCTTCCTGTAGTGGTTCCCATTTTGGGGTTTTATATTCTATATTTCAGTGCAAGATTGATAGATGTATGCATAATTAGTCATAATGATTGTGTGTGTATATATTTTTCCCCCTTTTTCTTTTTTTTGTTTTTTGGCAGTACTAAGGATTGAACCCAGGACCTTCACACTGAGCTACATTCCTATCCCTTTCTAAATTTTTATCTGAGACGTGGTCTGAGTTCCTAAATTGCCCGGTCTGGGTTTGAATTTGGCATTCTTCCTGCCTCAGCCTCCCAGAGTGCTGAAATTACAGGCCCATCCCACATTTCCCCTCTGATGTTGGTGTCTTTTTGAAACAAGGCAGTCCTTTATCATTGTGTAGGCTTAACAGTGCTATCTTCAGCTTCAGTCTTGGACCTGTTCAGTCACCTTGTCCTTAATGTTCTGAATATAAAAAGCTCATTTCTGTCTCCAGAGTTGCTCAGTTTCCCTCTGCCTAGAATTTTTTCCTCAGATTCTTGATAATTTAATAATTTGCTATTAATTTCTCATTAATAATTTGCTTCCTCGCTTGATTCAGATCTTCACTAAAATGTCAGTTCACCACTTTTTTTTTCCAGTACTGGGGATCGAACTCAGGACCTTGCACTTGCCAGGCAGGTGCGGTGCCACTGAGCTAAATCCCTGGCCCGGTTTACCACTTTTGACCATACATCTAAAATAACCTACCTCTTGCTTTAATTCATGGCACTTCTCATTCTGATGACATTGTATTAGTTATTAATGTCCCTTTTTATCATTATGTAATACTATTCCCTTAAATTTGTCTTTTTTTTGGTACCGGGGACTGAACTCCAGTCCTTGTGCTTGCGAGACAGGCGGCAGAACCACTGAGCTAAATCCCCAGCCCTCCTTAAATTTGTCTTAAGTTTCTTCCGTTGTGTCTTTGAACATCTTAGACCCGCTTAATTTTTATTTCTTTTTTTTTTTTGGTACCAGGGATCGAACTCAGGACCTTGCGCTTGGGAGGCGGGCAACAGAAAATTTTTATTTCTAAATCTTGGTTACACATTTTCCTGCTGCTGTATTTGCTTATTGTCAGTCTAGGTGATGGTTCATTTCCTTGCATGTTTTGTAATCTTTCTGAGTTAATGTTCATTGTCCTTGCTTGGTGTGGGAGTCCCATTGCCCTGGGCTTTGGCAGTGTCCTTACTTGGTGGTTTCAGTTGAGTGCTGGGGTTCCATGTAGTTCACCAGATCTGAGCAGTTTTCATTTGCATGGCACCATGAGGGTGGTATGACTGTAGATCCTTGCCTGAAGTTCAGTTTGTAGATTTCTTTCTATTGGTTTTGAGCATGGCTGTTTATCTACAAGGACCACAGGGACTTTAACTCTATTTTATGAAGAACATCCTCTCTCTCTCTCTCTCTCTCTCTCTCTCTCTGTCTGTCTGTCTGTCTCTCTCTGTCTTGGTTTTGAGACAGGTTCTTGCTATATAGTTCAGGCTGGCCTCAAACTCGGGGTGATCCTCCATGTCTGCCTCCCAGGTGCTAGGATTACAGGCATGTACTGTGCCAGGCCGTGAAGTATTTCTGTGTGGTGGGGATTGCGGGGCTTTTAATTTAGGCTCTTGACATTGTCTGCAAGCCCTGAAAAGCTCAGAAGAGCCAAGAAGGCAGACAGGTTTGCACCTTTTATCTCCTTCCCTCGTACAGTTGAGTGTTTCAAAATAATATTGGCATATGCAGTTGAGAAAGGAGATTTTAATTCCTAGTGTCATATTCTCAGTAATTCTGAGTTCTTGGTTCTGTCTTTCTCAGTATCATCTTATACCATTTCCTCATATCTTTTTAGGTCCTGCAGTAAAACTATATGTACTAATTTACAATTTCTGAACATACTCTGTGTGCTTTCCTACATGCTTTTTTGTTTGCTTGTAATTTTACTGTTATCTACTTCCCTTCTCATCTTTACACAAGATGAATTTCTTAAATTGCTGCTTTGGGGGGAGTTGGTTTTTTGATACAAGGTCTATTATGTAGTTTAGGCTGGGCTTGAACTCACTGTGTAGCCCAGGTTGGCCTTGAACTCATGGTGATCCTCCTGACTCAGCCACTCAAGTGCTAGGAATACAGGTGTGTGCCACCATGCCTGGCTTGTCCTTATGCTTTTAACTGTTTGAGAATGTCCTATGTTTGGAATCTTACTGTTATGGTCTGTTTGTGTCCCCAAAACCTATGTTGAAATCCTAACATTTAAGGTGAAGGTATTAGGCAGTCGAGCCTTTGGGCGGTGATAAGGTCATGAATAGGATTAATGCCCTTTTTGAAAAAAGACTCAAGAGCTAACTAGTTCCTTCTTCCAAGTGAAGACACAAGTGGAAACATCGTCTATGAACTAGAAAGCGATCCCTAGCCAGAGACTAAACCTGCTAGTGCCAGTGACTTAATCTTGGACTTCCCAGCTTCCAGAACTATAGTATTTTGTTGTAGTGGCCCAAATAGACCAAGACATACAATATGTAGTCTTTTTGGGGGGAGGGGTACTGGGGATCGAACTTGGGACCTTGAGCTTGCGAGGCAGGCAGTGGAACCACTGAGCTAATAAATCCCCAGCCCAATATGTAGTCTTTCTGTTGGGCTTCTTCACATAGTAATATGCATTTAAGTTTCCTCCATGTCTTTCCATGTATTGATAGCTTATTTCTTTTTACCACTGGATGTTCCACTGTATGTTCCACTTACAATGTGTATAGGAAAAGACATAGTGTATATAGGGTTCATACTATCTGTAGTTTCAGGGATGCACTGGGAGTCTTGAAATGTATACCCTGTGCACAGGAGGGGATACTGTGCCCCAATTTGTGCATTCACATACCAAGGGGCCTCTTGGTTGCTTCCAAGTTTAACATTTATGAATAAAGCTGTTAAAAAACATTCACATACAAGACATAAGTGTGGACGTAAGTCTTCAAATCCTTTGGGTAAATACCAAGGAGTACAATTACTGGATCATATGATAAAAGCATGTTTAGTTTTAAAAGAAACTGCCACGCTGTTCTCCACAACGGCTGCACCATTTTGTACTCGGTCAGCAATCAGTAAGGGTTCCTGTTCCTCCATATCCTCCCTAGTACTTGGTGGTGTCAGCACCCTGATTTCTGGCCTTTCTAATAGGTGTATAGTGGTATCACGCTGGTGTTTGAATTTGCATTTTCTTGAGGCTGTGTTATATGGTTCATTTTTTATATGCTTATTTAAGTATGCTTTGTATGTTTTAGATGTCAGTTCTTTTTTTTTTTTTTTTTTTTTTTGAGACAGGACTCACTATGTAGTTCAGGCTGGTGTTGAAGTCACTGTGTAGCCCAGGCTGTCCTGGAACTCACAGCCATCCTCCTGCCTCAGCCTCCTGAGTGCTGGGATTACCACCATGCCCAGCTTCTTTTGTATTTTCTGTATGGGCAGTTGTGTTGTCTACAACTAAACAAAGTTTTTGTTTCATTCTTCCCATTTGTATACCTTTTATTTCCTTTTCATGTCTTCATGTATTAGGTAGGACTTCCAATACAATGATAAAAAGCAATGGTAAGAGGGACATGTTGACTTACTCTTCATCTGAGTGAGAAAGCTTTTAGTTTTCACTAAGTATGATAGTGGCTATAGGATTTTATTCTTTTCCGGTGGGGGGTTTTTTTTTGGTATACTGTATCAGTTCCCTTGTATTTCCAGTTTACGAGAGTTTTTAACAATGAATGAGTGTTGGATTTTGTCAAATGCTTTTTCTGCAGCTATTGATAGGATCATGATTGTTCTTTTTTTTTTTTTAGCTCATTGATGTAGTAAATTATGTTTGTTCATTTTCATATAACTAGTCTGTATACCTGAGGTAAATTCCACTTGATCATAGTATAATTCTTTTGATACATTGTTAGATTTGATTTGCTAATATTTTGTTCAAGGTTTTTTGTGAATAGAATCTTTAGAAAATTTGGGCTTGGTTTACAGGAAAAAAAGATGGCCCACGCACAGGCAGAAATAGCTTCTTTCAGGGCCAGGGATTTAGCTCAGTGGTTTCGCCACCTGCTGTGCAAGCGCAAGGACCTGAGTTCGATCCCCAGAACCAAAAAAAAAAAAAAGAAAGAAATAGCTTCTTTTACAGGTAAAAGGATGGCCCATTTATGGGAAGAATGCATGGCCCAGTCAGTTGCATTTTTTTATAAAACGAGTGTAATCATTATGTACTGCAAACATATCCTGATAAAAATTTTTAAAAAGAAAGATGAGTGAACTAAGATTAAGATGCCTGTAAATCTGCCTATTTTAAGGTCAAGTTTCTGCCCTTTACTTTATCACCTTAGTTAATGCAGGAGTTTAAAGTATCTTTAAGGGATTTGGGGTGTGATAGGCCCAGAAGAAAAGAGGCATAAATAGGCCTAGGGAGCACAGATATGGATGACCTTGAGTAACTTTGATTGTCCCAAAGTTGTAGTCTTAAAAGTGAAATTAGGATTTACCTTGTCATTTTTCTGCCTGTCTTGATTTTTTTATCCCTCCTCAATACTGCTCGGTTTTTCTTTTTGACTTGTACACTGAAAGGTGAATTATTTTCTATTTAAAAATGAAATCTATGTAGCCATATTGAAATAATCTTTTTTTGAGACAGTTTGCTAAATGTAGTTCAGATATCCTTGTATTTTATATTTTACCCAATTTTGATTTTAACTTGAATCCTAATTATTTTTTCTTTTTCTTTTCTTTTTTTCCATTTTAGGTAAGACCATGACTCCTTCTTTTCATAAGTGAAGCATTGAGGAATGAAGTGAGAAAATGTCACATAGAAAATAAATGATTTTTAAGTTATGTCTATTAATTTGACCATAGATATATATATTTACCTCCTTAGTAATGCAAGAAGTCTTTGTGGAAAGCAGAGAAGCAAGCAGCTGCATTTTGTGTGTTCACCTAGACATTACTGGAGGATAAGCCATATCAGTCTACAAAGAGGTTTTCATACAAGCAGAATAAAATGTAAATGGGCCAGAAGTGAAGCATATTCTTACAGTAAGCACTGTTATTTTCCACGCAACCATGTTAGCATTTGGAAACGTAGCACTTCTGCTCCCAAGGGACTTACAAAAGTGACCATTCGTTTGTCCCGAATTAAAAGTACTTTGAATTCTGTTTCAAAGGCTGTTTTTGGCAGTCAAAATGAAATGATTTCACGTTTAGCTCAATTTAAGCCAAATTTTCCAATATTAAGAAAAGTATCAGATAGTGGCTGGTTGAAACAGAAAAATACTAAACAAGCCATCACATTTCTGAAGAAATACAGTGACAGATCAACAGAAAAGAGTCCTTTTGCAGAAGAGAAAAGTCACTTAGTAGATAAAGCAGATACAGGTAAACAAAGCCTTTTTCGTTACACAAGTAGTATAACCACAAAATTTGGAGAATCGTTCTACTTTTTATCAAATCATATTAATTCATACTTCAAGTGTGAGGAAAAAATGTCTCAAACAAAGGAAAATAAACATTTTCAGGATAAAGCAGAACTCAAAACTGAGAAGGTTGAAGAAGGGAAACCCAGTTCTCGAGGTCCTGGCCCCCAGACTAATGAGTTGGGCTCACAGTCTTCCACAGGAACCTTGGCCAAGCCTGCAAGTCCAAGTGGGGTGCCGGAGGTTCTCCCAGTGTCCACTAAACAGAGCATCGCTAACTTTCTTTCTCGGCCCACAGAAGGTGTTCAGGCCTTAGTAGGTGGCTATATTGGTGGACTAGTCCCCAAATTAAAGTGTGACTCCAAGAGTCAGTCAGAAGAACAAGAAGAGCCTGCTAAAACTGAGCAGGCTGTCAGCAAGGACAAAAATGCAGAGGAGAAAAAGCATTTATCTCTTCAACGAGAAAAGGCAAGTTGTTATTCAGTATGGTTTTAAGTTGTATTAATTTTGTCAAATTTATAAGTTTCATATTCTAATGAAGCATTAACCATTTGGTAAAACAGTGTCATGTCCTAATCACGTATATTTAATGTGTCTTTGTAGATTATTGCAAGAGTGAGTATTGATAATAGAACCCGGGCGTTAGTTCAGGCATTAAGAAGAACAGCAGACCCAAAGCTCTGCATTACTAGGGTTGAAGAACTGACTTTTCATCTTCTAGAATTTCCTGAAGGAAAAGGAGTAGCGGTCAAGGTAATTTCTGATTTACTTAATCAGGTTTTGCCTTGGACTAAAAATACTAATAAATGGAAATGGCAAGGCCTTTGTTTTTAGTTGAAAATGTTTGTGTTTTTTATCATACATGTAATTGTATATTCAATAATTGCTCCATTTATTCTATGATGTACATTATTCTAATAGATTCCTTTTCTATGATATAAATGATGCTAATACTAATACCTGTATTTTGAGGTTAAACATTTGTAAAATAGGAGTGTCAGTATATTAATTGAATTGCCTGTTTTTCTTAATTGTAATGTAAGTTTTTATACTATATAACTACTCTGTTAATACAGGAGAGGGCTGGGGATTTAGCTCAGTGGTTTTTCCATCTGCTGCGCAAGCGCAAGAACCCAAGTTCGATCCCCGGCACCAAAAAAAAAAAAAACAACAAAAAAAAACCAGGAGATAAAATTCATATATGAAGCCAATGCTAGTTTCTTTTATTTTTTTAAATTTATTTTTCTTCTTCTTCTTTTTTTTTTTTTTTGAGACAGGGTCTCACTGTAGTTCAGGCTGTCATTGGACTTACTATGTGGCCCAGGCCAGCCTCGTGCTTGGAGCAATCCTCCTGCCTCAACCTCCTGAGTGCTGGGATTACAGGCATGTACCACCATGCCCAGCACCAGTGCTATTTTTAATTTCATGATCTTTTCATGTTTGAAAGCCTAAAATTTTCATGACCTACTTGTATTAGTTAAATTTAATCGTACAGTCTGCTGCCTGCCCTGCAAGTGTAAGGACCCGAGTTAGATCCCTGATACCAAAAAAAAGACCAAAAAAACCCCAATTTAATCATACAGTTTCATTCTTGATTGTCAAAAGCAACAAAAATATTGTTCCTCTCAATATAGGAAAGAATTATACCATATTTATTACGACTGAGACAAGTTAAAGATGAAACTCTTCAGGCTGCAGTTAGAGAAATTTTGGCCTTAATTGGTTATGTGGACCCAGTGAAAGGGAGAGGAATCCGAATTCTCACAATTGATGGTGGAGGAACAAGGTAAGGTTAGAAACATTATCTTTAACAACTACAGATGCAATTCAAGCTTTAGTGATTCTTCAAAAACAGACTTGATTAAATTGTATCATCATAAAATCAGATTTTTAAAATGAAACATGAAATCATTTTTAAAATTTGTAACTTCAAGTCTAAGCAAATAACATATGCTTGAATCACCTTTTTTTGATTTTGTTTATATCTTAGTTTGACCTTTTTTAGACCTTTTTGTTAGTTTAGAAGCTTCAACTATTATTCTCTTAAAATCTTGGCAATGTTTTATAACTTTAGCTTTTTTTGGTTACATTTATCTTAACCATATTAGTTATCTAGTCACTTAATGAGGTGATGGCTCTCACAAGAGTCCATATCAATAACTTCCTTGCCCCTTGTGTTTGGGTACTTTACCAGAAATAAATGCATTCTTTCTCTGGAGATAATGTCACCATCAGTCTTCATTTTTACTTCTGGCAGACTATCCATGCTTACTCTGTCATAGTTTATCAGATTTCTGCCATTGTGTTACTTAGATTGATGGCTTGGTTTTTTGGAACTTTCCTCTCATAGTTTCCAGCTTGGGCTTTAGTTCCTGCCATCTCTGCCCTGACCCTTGAGGTGTATCGGGTGTGCCTTGCCTACTGTTCTTTGCTTTACCTTCTCTGCTTTTGTTCTCTAGACCTACCTTGCCAGCCAGGCTTCTCTATGCCAAGTACTACCCTTATCTTTTGTTAAATTCCCCAGTCTTACCTGTCACTCAAGTCCTTTACAGTGTGACACTAATGTGAAAGAAGGATTGAGTGATAAGAGGCTATTTAAAAATCTACTAAAGTACTAGAATGCTGGCAATGGGAATTTTGCAGGAGGAAGGAAAGATAACACAAAAATTTTTTTTGAAGAAAAAGGGAGACCAGATACACTAGAAACAGATCAAGATCATTCTAAGTATAAACTCTGTGGGTGACTGGGACAGAATTACAGAGACAGGAGGTGAATGGTGTTGGGAAAGAGTTCTTAGTTTAGGCATGTTAGATGTAAGGTTACATGCTTCTGCATAGAAGTATTCAAATGGCAAAAAGCCAGCATCTTAGATCTCGGTAGATATTTCTTAGGGAAGTGAAATAATCCAAGAAGGTATGCATCACCCATGTGTTGTATTAAATGGTAACAAATCGGAGAAAATCATTATAGTTAATAGAATCAGTTCCTTATGACAAGAAGTAGGGAAAGTGGTAGTTAAATGAGTAAGGCATTTTTCCAAGGAGCAGGAAGAATCCTCTTTTGCATTCTCGAGGAGAAAATAACTTGGGAAATTTATTGAGTAGTAATGAGAACTGTGATTATAAAAGTAAAAGAATAGAGTCTGATAGTGGTATTTTAAAGAATGATCATGACTAATTTTTTTTAAAAGAAATATTTAAGTATAGAAAAAAGGATATTGAAGGACATTCAGATAGCTAAAGTGAGAGATATGGTGAAAAGACATTTGTGACTAATAAATATATAATCTTATAGAATAAGAGTTTTATTAGTCATAGGGGGAAGAAATTTAGGAAAATGTAGGAGTGTGTTAGGATGAAGCTAAGTTTGGACGAGTGATCCTCTAGTGGAGGTAATGTTATCCCATGGAGGACACTTGGCGTTGTCTGGAGACATGTTTTGTTGTCACACTGGAGGACATCCACTGACATCTCATTTGACGAGCGCAGTTGCTGAACACCCTGTGATGCATAGACCGTCTCCCTGAAGCAAAGAGTTAGCCAGCCCAGAGTCACAGGTGCTGCTGTTGAGGAAATGCAAACAAGCAGCCACAGGGGGAGGTTTGTGTGGAAGGCAGGAAGGTATGAGGGCTCTGAGTAAAAGAAACCATGTAATAGATGTGTGTGGGGACAAGTGTGTAACAACCTTGGAGAAAGTGTTAGGCAAATAGTATCAACCTGGTAACTATGTATATATATATATTTGAATTAACTTATAAATATTTCATTTTAAAATAAGTTTTTCCCCGATTATGTAAGTGGTTAGAAAAACTCAGGTAAACAAAAAAAGAAAAAAATGGGGGCTGGGGATTTAGCTCAGTGGTGCCGCTGCCTGCCTCGCAAGCGCAAGATTCCAAGTTGGGTTCGATCCCCGGTACCAAAAAAAGAAAAAAAAAACATAGCTAAAAACTTCAAGATTATTTTAATATTTTCATCAAATGTTTTCTGTGTGATATATACAGAAAAAATCATAGAGATCACATTGTTAAATATTTTATTTGGTATTATCTTTAATTCTTCATGTACCACTTTGAATTAATAATGTTTCTCATAGGCCATCTTATTCTCAAATTCACATTCTTTGTTACCATAAAAAAAAAAAATCACTGTCTTTAGTTTTTTACTTTATTCTTAGAATATTTCTTGATGACTTTAAAATAATTTAAAGTTCTGAATTTTATTTTATGGCGCCATGTAACATTGTATTGTAGAACTGACCTGCCTCACTTTTTGTATTGGAAATGGAATTTTTCATTGTTTCCTCTTTAAGAATTGTCCACATGATAACACCCCTACATCTCAAGGACTTTTCATCTTTTCGCATTCTCTCATGAAGCTATTTACTATCTTAGGCAAAGTTCTAGAAATTATCAAAGTCAGCAGCATTAATTAATATGCCCTAATAGCCTAAGTTTATTGAATTTTTAGAAGTGACTAAATAGGAACTTAAATATGTGACTAGTGAAACATACAGGACACAAATACATAGAAGCATAGGTGACCAAGTATATTGATAAGAGAAGAAACCAGTGACTGTCATCCCAAATCTAACAAGAAGTTTTAAATGTGTTCTAGAGTTGAGTTTGTTTGTTTGTTTGTTTTGAGACAGGGTCTCACTATGTAGTTCAGGCTGGCCTTGAACTGATGACTATTTAGCCCAGGCTGGGCACAGCGATCCTGTTGCCTCAGCCTCCTGAATGTAACATGCACCACCATGCCTGCCTAGAGTTGAGATGTTTTTTAAAAATACATCTGCACATTGTTGTATTAGTATTTTTAAAGATACTAATTTAAATTTTTAAATGTACTCCCATTGCACAGGTTTTATATCATGTAGGTTCTGGATTTTCAACAGTGATTCTCATTTTTGGTCAGGCAGTGCTAATTTATATTACTAGTTTTCATGTTAGCGTATAAGCTACAAAAGCAATTTATAGAATTGTTTGATTCAGTAACTTGAATTGATATTCCTTGAAACAGGAGTTCCCACTTTACATTTAATCTTTTCTACAGGGGTGTGGTTGCTCTTCAGACACTGCGGAAATTAGTTGAACTAACTCAGAAGCCAGTTCATCAGCTCTTTGACTACATTTGTGGTGTAAGCACAGGTAATTTTATTAACAACACAGAAGTGGTGCATTCTAGCAGCACATTAAGGAATAAAACATTAACAGTTGGACTTAATATCATGGGTCATTTTCTGAAATGATGGGTATTTCCCGTTTTTATAATGATCATCCTTTGGTTTGTTTAATGAACTTTTTAAAATGTTTACTGTGATTAACATTCAGAAATAGATTTTTAATGTACTTTTATAGTATGTTTTCATTAAGCCACATTGGTGAGACAAATTACTATTGTGTTATGGAATTGTCATTGTAAAGACAGTGTTGAAATAAAAGGAAGAAAAGTACTCACTGTATTTGAACCAATAGAAAAATCTAAAATGGATAAGGTTTCACTCTTTTGTGAGGGGTGTCTCTCAATGAGGAAATTGCTTCATACATCATTTTTATGTGGTCATTTGAAACTGGAATCTAAATTGGTAAATTTGAGAATCGTTTTTAGAAAGCTACTTTTATATATTGCTAGTGATTACATATAATAAGATTTTGTTTTGTATAGAAAGAATTTAAGGCCAGGGATTTAGCTCAGCAGTTCCTCCGCCTGCCTCACAAGCATAAGGACCTGTGTTGAATCCCCAGTACCAAAAAAAAAAAAAAAAAAGTTAAAGAATTTAGCATGATTGTTACTTTGAGTTTTACTGTTTGACTTGAGTTTCTCACTTGACATTCATTTACACTTCATAGATTTTATACCTATTTCTTTTTCTTCTTCTGTTAAATTACAGTAGTAGTTCTGAAGGGCATTACAAACAATCAAATGATTTCTCTACATCATTAGTTTTGAATATGACAGATATTCCCAAAAAGCATGTTAATTGATGCTCAGTTGTCATGACTAAATGGAGCAACTGCTCCATTTAGGGATGATTTTAAAACCCGAGGAATCCATTGGTGTAAGGGATCACTGTAGCACTACTTTCTCAGAATAGAAAATGTTGGATTAAAGCAAGTAGACCAGATTTCTCTACAGAGGATCTTCAGCTATTTTAATATGTTGAAAATGTGACTCTCAAAATAGGAAAATGATACATAGATCCTAAGTTGATTTTAACTCTGGAAACTTTTTTTTTGTATGGGGAATCAAACTCAGGACTTTGCACTTGCGAGGCAGGCACGGTGCCACTGAGCTAAACCCCTGGCCCTGGAAACTTCTTAAAGAGACATTTCCTAATACTACAGTGTTCTTTTGGAAATATTATCCTGATCATTTCTCTTAAATTTGGAATGGCCCTGGGAATTCAAACATTTAAACATATTAGAAGCTAACTTCTTGCTTTGGCTCCATGGTTAGGTGAAAGGTCAGTAAAGAGAATCTCAACTCAAAGATTCATTTATGAAGTGAAGGATCAGTTATGTAAAATGTACATTTCTGTATTTATCTTTTTCATTGTGCCTTGTTTTCACTGATGTTAACTTGTATGGTAACTTTCTTTTCCTTTTTTCCTTTTTTTATACTCTATTTGTTTGCACCTGTGGTTAGTATAGTATAAGTTTAAAGTAATATCTCACTGGTAATAAAATTCAGTTTTTTAAATATCTGTGCATCTTTATAGTAGGTCTATTTAAAAACAAATAACTTATTTGCAAGTTATTTGTTGTGTCAATTAGAAAATTTCTACAAATTAAAAAAAATCCCAATTATATAGTTATGCCATAACAGTATATTTTTAAAACATAACCTGCCTGATCTTTTACTGGAATACCAATTATAATAAAATAAGTTAAACATTTAGACATTATGGTAGTGATTTCTTATTTTTCCCTTGTGTTTTGTTGCCATCTTAGGTTTGGTGGAAATAATGAGCCCGCCTTTGCGGGCTCTCCATTCCCCAAAGCTCTCTTCTCTTCCTGCAGGGTTAGACCAGTTAGACCCACTAGATGGCAGTGTGTCCTACCCATTACAGCTAGTATATGAGATAAGTATTTAAAAGGACATCCCAGAGTAACCAGTTTCTTTAATTACATCGGTTCTAGGACCAACCTGAAGTAATAATTGCTTAATAAATTGGTGAGTTTTTAATATACTGTATTCTCTGACTAAAACTAAGTAATTTATTAATGTTGGGCCATTTTCTACCGTGGTCTCAGTCTTATATATTATTTAATTTAGCGTAAGCAACATTTTAAAATATTTTAAAATTATCATCATCATCTTGGGGCTAGCATTTATTTAGACCTTTTTGGGACCCAGTAAAACTTTTTACATGTGTTAGCTGGGTACAAAGAACTTACACATTTTAGTTATTATTTATCCCCATTTTATTTTTATTAGTGCATCTTTGCAGTACATAATGTTTACATTCCTTGTGTGGAGTTTGTGCATGGACATGACATATCTTGGGTTTTTTTCATCCCCTTTCCCTCTCCTCCCTGTCCCTTCCCTAATGGTAAGTGAGATAAATCAGACACACAAGCTTAAATAGTGCATAGTTCCTGTTATATGACAAACCCAAAGTTAAAGATTAAAATAAAAGATAGATAATGTTAAGTAGGGTGCTTGATCTTTTTTTTTTTCTTTTTTTGAGACAGGGTCCCACTCTAATTCAGGCTGGCCTTGAATGCACTACGTAGCTCAGGCTGGCCTCGAACTTGCAGTGATCCTCCTGCCTCAGCCTCCTGAGTGCTAGGATTACAGGCATGCGCCATCACACCCGGCTGGGAGCTAGATCTTTATGCCCATTTTACAAATGAAAAAATTGGGGCTCTGAGAAATTAAGTAATCTGTTCTAGGTGAGATAGCTAGAATTTAAGCCAGGTCAGTAACTCAGGAGATCTTATATTCAGAAGTGTAGGTAACATCGGTGCTGATAAAAACTAACAATCTTTTCTCTCAGGTGCCGTATTAGCTTTCATGTTGGGATTGTTTCATATGCCGTTGGATGAATGTGAGGAACTGTATCGAAAATTAGGATCAGATGTATTTTCACAGAACGTCATTGTTGGCACAGTCAAAATGAGTTGGAGCCATGCATTTTATGACAGTCAAACATGGGAAAAGATTCTTAAGTAAGTTATTGTTCTTTTTAAAAAATGTTCTTGGGGCCGGGGATTTAGCTCAGTGGTGCCACTTCCTGCCTCACAAGTGCAAGGTCTCAAGTTCGATCCCCAGTACCAAAAAAAAACAAAACAAGAGAAATGTTCTTACTAACTGGGCATGGTGGTGCACACCTGTAATCCTAGCAGTCAGTAGGCTGAGGCAGGGGAATTGCTCTGAGTTTGAGGCCAACTTGGACTAGTGAGACACTGTCTCAAAAACCAAAAAAAGTTACTATTATGTATGTGTATAATTTTAAAAATTCAGAGAACATTAATTTATTAATCCCATGAATTGGAAATAACTACTGTTACTATTTTGATGAGTCATATTCTAGTCATAGGACCTTGGGTTCACAGATGTGAGATGTGCAAGTAAAAGTCAATATTGTGTTTTTAAAATATGAGATTGTATTGTACATAGACAATATTTGCGTACTGTTGTTTTTATTTAACATGTTACAGCTTTCTCTCATGTTCTAAAACATTTTATAATTTTAAAATTCTTTCCAAATACTACAAAGCCAAAAATATAACCATAAAGTAGAAACTTAAAATCAACCATGATCCTATTGCTCAAAGCTATAGATCTTGCAGTGAGTAGATCTCCTTCTGGTTTTGTCAAGATTATATGCATGTGTATATATGTTTTGTATAGCTAAAATTATAGTTGTAAATTTATATCATTTCCCTTTTTTTCCCAACTTTTAAAAGATCTCTTGACATATTTTTAAAGACTACACTACATTCCAGTTGTGGTACTATATTTTCTTAACCATTTCCACTAAGGATATTTATGGACATTTATATTGTTCTTAAGGTTTAGTGTTTATGAACAGTGCTATGATGGGAAACTTTAGATTTCTACCCACATTTCAGAATATACCAATATTGATAAGAAGCATATTTATTGGTTCAAATATTGATGTCTTTTAAAAATATTTATCATATGAAAATAGAGAATATATAACAATGAAAGTAACCTATAGTCCCACTAGGAACTAAACCACTATTGACATTTCTGTCTAGAATTTCCTACTAATAAATGTGTGTGTGTGTGGTGTGTGTGTGTGGTGTGTGTGTGTGTGTGTTGTGTCTATGTAATCATTCACTTTAAAAATCAGGGTGATACTGCTGTCCCTATAACAAAACCACTTTCTACATACTGCCAGATCTGACTTCTAATAGTTTGTTTTGTTAAACAAATTTCTATCTATTTTCATA